TCCAGGTGTTTCAGGTAAGTTGTGGATCTTAAACAGAGTTAACGTGGCTGGAAGAACTTGCTGAGTGTAAAAACAATGTTCCTGTCATATTTAGAGGAAGTTAGAGTTCAGTTTTGTGCAGAGTAGAAACTGTTAAAGTGTGTGTGAGCGAGCCCTGCTGGGTAACAGAAGAACCAGTGGTGGGAGAAGTACTCTGATCATTTACTGGAGGAAAAGTACTAATACACACTGTGAAAATACTATTAGTTTACATGCTGCAGGGTAGTTTAATCTACAGCAATGCATCATATTTTCATTATTATTATTATTATTATTATTATTTCAAGTTCAGCTGTCCTATGAGCACCATGTATTTCCATCTCTAAAATTAGCCCAGAAAAACAAGCCTTTTTCAGCTTCATGATGATGCATTTTCCACTTAATCCAAGACAGGTTTAAATAGTTTATTTAGCTTAAGAAGTAGTTTATCAGGATAAAACAAAGTCATCAAATTTGGAGGTACATGGTTTTCACTGCACAGTAAGGGGATAAAAACGTTTACTCAGTAAATTAATTAGTAACTAAAGCTTTGAGAAAAATGTAGTTGAGTTTCTCTCCAACACAACAAGCTCCACTCTGTCCATAACTTGTATTTCTTTGTTCCCTTCCCTTCAGATCTAAAGTTTTAAGACGAGTGGTGAAGTGCAGGAGCTGACAGACGCTGCAGAAACACATGCTGATTGGATCAAAGCTCTGAGAGGAAAAATGGCGCAGAAAAGAGTAAAACTGGACCGAGAAACCTTCTCTTGTTCCATCTGTCTGGATCTACTGAAGGATCCGGTGACTATTCCCTGTGGACACAGCTACTGCATGAACTGTATTAAAACCCACTGGGATTTGGAGGACGGAAAGGAAATCCACAGCTGCCCTCAGTGTAGGCAGACCTTTAGACCGAGGCCTGTCCTGGTGAAAAACACCATGTTAGCAGATTTAGTGGAGGAACTGAAGAAGACTGGACTCCAAGCTGCTCCTTCTGATCACTGCTATGCTGGACCTGAAGATCTGGCCTGTGATGTCTGCACTGGGAGAAAACTGAAAGCCCTCAAGTCCTGTCTGGTCTGTCTGGCCTCTTACTGTGAGAAACACCTGCAGCCTCATTATAAATCCTCTGCCTTTAAAAAACACAAGCTGGTGGAGCCCTCTGAGAAGCTCCAGGAAGTGAGTCGCCAAAACATCCAGCAGAGAATCCAGGACAGAGAGAAAGATGTGAAGGTGCTTCAGCAGGAGGTGGAGGCTATCAATGGCTCTGCTGATAAAGCAGTGGAGGACAGTGAGAAGATCTTCACCGAGCTGATCCGTCTGATGGAGAAAAGAAGGTCCGATGTGAAGCGGCAGCTCAGATCCCAGCAGGACACTGAAGTGAGTCGAGTCAAAGAGCTTCAGGAGAAGCTGGAGCAGGAGATCACTGAGCTGAAGAGGAAAGACGCTGAGCTGAAGCAGCTCTCACTCACAGAGGATCACACCCAGTTTCTACACAACTACCCCTCACTGTCAGCACTCAGTGAATCTACAGACTCATCCAGCATCAACATCCGTCCTCTGCGCTACTTTGAGGACGTGACAGCAGCTGTGTTAGAAGTCAGAGACAAACTACAGGACGTTCTGAGAGAGAAATGGACAAACGTCTCACTGACAGTGACTGAAGTGGATGTTTTACTGTCAGAACCAGAGCCCAAGACCAGAGCTGGATTCTTAAAATATTCACGTAAAATCACACTTGATCCAAACACAGCAAACACATGGCTGTTTTTATCTGAGAGGAACAGAAAAGCAACAGCAATGTGGCAACAACAGTCTTATTGTAGTCACCCAGACAGATTCACTGATTACTGTCAGGTCCTGAGTAGAGAGGGTCTGACTGGACGTTGTTACTGGGAGGTGGAGTTGAGAGGGGAAGAAAGTGATGTAGCAGTCTCCTACAAGAATATCGGCAGAGCAGGGTGGTCAGATGATTGTGGATTTGGAAACAATGACATATCTTGGGCATTAAAATGTGATGACAATGGTTATCACTTATGGTACAATAAACGCTGCACTCCCGTCTCAGGTCCTTGGTCCTCCAGAGTCGGAGTGTACCTGGATCACAGTGCAGGTATTCTGTCCTTCTACAGCATCTCTGAAACCATGACTCTCCTCCACAGAGTCCAGACCACATTCACTCAGCCTCTCTATGCTGGACTTCAGTTGTATTATTCTTGTGGAGCCACTGCTGAGTTCTGTAAACTCAAATAGTCAGAAGTCATTTCAGGGACAGTTGGTTAAATTCTGTGTTTTAATCCTTAAACTTGTTTTGTCTTCATGTTTGTTGCTGAGAGCTGATTGTTGTGGCATTTCTTCACTGCACAGAGATCAGCTGTCAATCAAACATTGTGGGTGGTACTTTGACGTCTGGTCATTAGTTGCTGTGTAAATGTTTGAGTTTCTTTAGGTGGAGCTCCTTCCTGTGTCTGTTTAGCCATGGAGGCTATCACTGCTCAGGATGACTTTTGTTCACCTGAACTGACATTTCTCTGCATGAAAATGGAAACTTCTCTGAGCTCTAAATGCTTGTTCAATATTTGAATTGATGTATTAGAGATTCTGCTCAAACCCACTGATTGTGTGGATGAAGTGAATCTGTACCTGAAATCATTGAACAAGAGTCATTTAACAGACTTTACTGATGGGATGTGTGAACAAACTGAAGCTTTACATGATGAATAAACAAACATGAACAAAGTCTTTCCTTCCTGTCTTCATTCCAGGGTATCATACAGAGCTGATGGAGAAAATGTGAAACCAACATGAGAGTATAACTGAGGCAGTTTTCATCCTGAAACACCACAAAGTAGAGAGTTCATGTTTAGAGCAGGATAGCATTTGTCAGTCAGTCTCTGTCCTTGGAAGGCCAACATAGTCTCAGGGATACATATCAACTGAATCTCAGATGAGCTAGAAAGCAAAGTCACCGGAGGCCTGACAGAGTTTCAGAAGCACAGATCTGCTGAGGCTCTCGAACATTAGTGTAAATAAGCTCTATTAAAAGAAACAAAATCTGGACCTCACTAATTTCTAAACCCTGGCTATGGCCCTGGTTCCACTGTAATTAGCAAAGACCATAGAATGTATATCTCTGTGGAAATTCTCCTCTCAATTTACACCACCTCACTGGGGCCGAACATTCGCTCGCATGGCTTTTCTTACCACTACTACGCAGACGATACACAACTCTACCTATCTTTCCCGACTGTCTCTCCGACATATCTGCATGGATGAAGGCTTGCCACATCCAACTAAACCTCTCTAAGATGGAACTCTTGGTCATTTCAGCCAAGCTATCTATCCACCATAACATGAAACTACAAATTGACTCCTCAACCATCACTCCAACCATCTGGTTATATCTCGCCTTGACTGTTGCAATGACCTCCTAGCAGGTCTTCCAGCTTGTGCAATGAAACCCCTACAAATGGTTCAGAATGTAGCAGCGTGTCTGCCCAAAAGGATCATGTCCATCTGACCTCCTCTCTCTCCCAGTGACCTCTAGAATCAAATTAAATTCACTGATGCTGCATACAGGGTGACTACTGAGTCTGCACCATCTATCTAAACTTAATAATACAAGCCTACGTTCCTTCTCGGCCACTACGCTCCTCCAACAAACCTCCAATAAACACTTTTATTTTATAACCTAACCCCTAACCTCTAACATGCACTTCCTTTGCTCTTCTTCTTCTACCCTCTTACAATTCTCTTGTATTTGTAGCACTTTTTTTGTTAACTCTTACTTCCTCCCCTATGTATTTACCCCATTGATGCCATACGTGCTATGAGCTCTTACTAGTTTTTAGTGCTGCTCTTACTAATATGTATTGTCAGTTGTAGATCTCATGCTGTATTGGTGCTTTGTTGATGCTTGTATGTTGTTCCTCAAATGTAAGTCACTTTGGATAAAAGCATCTGCCAAATGAATAAAGAACTGAAGAAGTCCCTTGGATGAGGGACGAAACATCTTCTAGTATCTTCAACCAAGTCCATTTGCCCTTCTTTGGATGACTATGACCTGGATGACTGAGAATCTTCACAGACAAATGAATAAATGTAAATACATTGGTTGAATTGGATCAGATCCGTTTTTGTTTGTGTTGAACAGAATATGGACATCATGCTAATCCTGTCCTGGGCTCATCAAATCGCGGTTTTGTTGTTGGTCTACACAAAACTAGATCTTCTTTGTCTTTAATCCAATAAAGCACTTAGGCATTAGCATCCTGATGGCCATCCTCAGGTCACCAGCAATAGCCCAGCTATTTGTATGGATACGCCTTCACACCTTTAGAGACCAGACCAAGTTGCCCCAGTCAGTACCCCTCCTCCATGCATTTACACGGTGTATTCATCTCCAACCACTGTGACAACAACCTGAATTGTTTGTGCGAGATTGCAGATACTGGCAGAATATAGAGACTATGAGGGAGCTGAGCACAAAACTCTCCAACGGCAGATACAATCAAAACAAAGTGGCATCATGTCAAGTCTTTCATTTCTCCATTCAAAGCTTCCTAGTTCAGTCTACAATAAGTTATAAAGGGAGGGGGCTTCAGCCTAGAGAGAGCAATACATTCATGTCCTGTGAGATTCAGAGATGAACAAGTAACTTATTACTTACAATAATATAGTTTCATTATATTTTATTACATTATTGGAGTTTCATCATCTTTACAGCAGTGATTAATGGATCTGGCTTTCATGTATTAATGGCTAATAATTAATATTGTAATCAATAAAACGTTTGATTAAACTGAATTACAGGCCAACTCAACAATGTTGAAACTAACTAGGGAGTGTTAAAATGCTAAAAACGTGTTTGTTTTAAATTGTTTCTTTTATGTTTTACTGTTCAGTTTAAACTGCACTAGTGTTGATCTGTGATCTACAGGGTGGTCTGAATCTGAAAGCCTGAGCTCGATTGCTTCTGTCTCCACCCACATGGCTGCTGAATAAAATCCCTGGTTTTCCTCATTAGACTGAAGTTCTCTCTGAGGAAACTTCACCTCCTCACTCTCCTGATTGTTTCTCCAGGTGTTTCAGGTAAGTTGTGGATCTTAAACAGAGTTAACGTGGCTGGAAGAACTTGCTGAGTGTAAAAACAATGTTCCTGTCACATTTAGAGGAAGTTAGAGTTCAGTTTTGTGCAGAGTAGAAACTGTTAAAGTGTGTGTGAGCGAGTCCCTGCTGGGTAACAGAAGAACCAGTGGTGGGAGAAGTACTCTGATCATTTACTGGAGGAAAAGTACTAATACACACTGTGAAAATACTCCATTAGTTTACATGCTGCAGGGTAGTTTAATCTACAGCAATGCATCATATTTTCATTATTATTATTATTATTATTATTATTATTTATTATTATTATTATTATTATTATTATTTCAAGTTCAGCTGTCCTATGAGCACCATGTATCTCCATCTCTAAAATTAGCCCAGAAAAACAAGCCTTTTTCAGCTTCATGATGATGCATTTTCCACTTAATCCAAGACAGGTTTAAATAGTTTATTTAGCTTAAGAAGTAGTTTATCAGGATAAAACAAAGTCATCAAATTTGGAGATACATGGTTTTCACTGCACAGTAAGGGGATAAAAACGTTTACTCAGTAAATTAATTAGTAACTAAAGCTTTGAGAAAAATGTAGTTGAGTTTCTCTCCAACACAACAAGCTCCAGTCTGTTCATAACTTATATTTCCTTGTTCCCTTCCCTTCAGAGCTACAGTTTGAAGACGAGTGGTGAAGTGCAGGAGCTGACAGACGCTGCAGAAACACATGCTGATTGGATCAAAGCTCTGAGAGGAGAAATGGCGCAGAAAAGAGTGAAACTGGACCGAGAAGCCTTCTCTTGTTCCATCTGTCTGGATCTACTGAAGGATCCGGTGACTATTCCCTGTGGACACAGCTACTGCATGAACTGTATTAAAACCCACTGGGATTTGGAGGATGGAAAGGAAATCCACAGCTGCCCTCAGTGTAGGCAGACCTTTAGACCGAGGCCAGTCCTGGTGAAAAACACCATGTTAGCAGATTTAGTGGAGGAACTGAAGAAGACTGGACTCCAAGCTGCTCCTGCTGATCACTGCTATGCTGGACCTGAAGATGTGGCCTGTGATGTCTGCACTGGGAGAAAACTGAAAGCCCTCAAGTCCTGTCTGGTCTGTCTGGCCTCTTACTGTAAGAAACACCTGCAGCCTCATTATAAATCCTCTGCCTTTAAAAAACACAAGCTGGTGGAGCCCTCTGAGAAGCTCCAGGAAGTGAGTCGCCAAAACATCCAGCAGAGAATCCAGGACAGAGAGAAAGATGTGAAGGTGCTTCAGCAGGAGGTGGAGGCTATCAATGGCTCTGCTGATAAAGCAGTGGAGGACAGTGAGAAGATCTTCACCGAGCTGATCCGTCTGATGGAGAAAAGAAGGTCCGATGTGAAGCGGCAGCTCAGATCCCAGCAGGACACTGAAGTGAGTCGAGTCAAAGAGCTTCAGGAGAAGCTGGAGCAGGAGATCACTGAGCTGAAGAGGAAAGACGCTGAGCTGAAGCAGCTCTCACACACAGAGGATCACACCCAGTTTCTACACAACTACCCCTCACTGTCAGCACTCAGTGAATCTACAGACTCATCCAGCATCAACATCCGTCCTCTGCGCTACTTTGAGGATGTGACAGCAGCTGTGTCAGAAGTCAGAGACAAACTACAGGACGTTCTGAGAGAGAAATGGACAAACGTGACAGTGACCAAAGTGGATGTTTTACTGTCAGAACCAGAGCCCAAGACCAGAGCTGGATTCTTAAAATATTCACGTAAAATCACACTTGATCCAAACACAGCAAACACATGGCTGTTTTTATCTGAGAGGAACAGAAAAGCAACAGCAATGTGGCAACAACAGTCTTATTGTAGTCACCCAGACAGATTCACTGATTACTGTCAGGTCCTGAGTAGAGAGGGTCTGACTGGACGTTGTTACTGGGAGGTGGAGTTGAGAGGGGAAGAAAGTGATGTAGCAGTCTCCTACAAGAATATCGGCAGAGCAGGGTGGTCAGATGATTGTGGATTTGGAAACAATGACATATCTTGGGCATTAAAATGTGATGACAATGGTTATCACTTATGGTACAATAAACGCTGCACTCCCGTCTCAGGTCCTCAGTCCTCCAGAATAGGAGTGTACCTGGATCACAGTGCAGGTATTCTGTCCTTCTACAGCATCTCTGAAACCATGACTCTCCTCCACAGAGTCCAGACCACATTCACTCAGCCTCTCTATGCTGGACTTCAGTTGTATTATTCTTGTGGAGCCACTGCTGAGTTCTGTAAACTCAAATAGTCAGAAGTCATTTCAGGGACAGTTGGTTAAATTCTGTGTTTTAATCCTTAAACTTCTTTTGTCTTCATGTTTGTTGCTGAGAGCTGATTGTTGTGGCATTTCTTCACTGCACAGAGATCAGCTGTCAATCAAACATTGTGGGTGGTACTTTGACGTCTTCTCATTAGTTGCTGTGTAAATGTTTGAGTTTCTTTAGGTGGCGCTCCTTCCTGTGTCTGTTTAGCCATGGAGGCTATCACTGCTCAGGATGACTTTTGTTAACCTGAACTGACATGTATCTGCATGAAAATGGAAAAACAGGCACAATGCTTGGTTCAGGTGTTCATCAGTTCAAGTATCTATAATAGTCTGCAAAGTGGTGCGCAATCAGGGGCAAGAGAACCTCCCAGCAGTGTTTCCATCTATAGACAATACTTCAAGAAATTCCCTGTTGCACAACAACAGTCAGGTACTGATTGTTGCAGGATTTGGCAATCAAAAATCAAAAACAAGCCACCGCACACTGAAATGACTTTACCAAGCTAAATATATTGTGTTGAGTTACACTTGTGACTTCTTCAGGTTCACACAATGCGAAGCTGAAGTAGTAGTGTCAAATAGTGAAGTAATTTCAGTGTGCTGTGGCTTGTTCTTGAATTTCATTGCCAAATCCTGCGACCTACCAGCAGCTGACTCTTCTTACTCTGCATGCAGAATTTCTTGATTTATTTGCATTGATGATTTTATGTTGTCTTTATTCCACTACATGGGTCTTAAGAGAGAAAGCACCAGACCTCCTTCATCAGAGATATTTTGTTCTGACTTGGTAAAGAAATCTATAATTAATTTTTATTTGTTTGGCAGACCAGATGTTGTTGTTGTCCAAAATGACATAAAAATGAGGGACTGAGATATTATAAAACTGTAATTGTATAATTTTTTTGCCGTTGCCTAAATAAACTCTAAACTGTACCTGCTCAGCTTTGGTGTCTGCATTCTGGGTCCAATCCCCTGTTTGTTTTGCCCATGTCCCTTTTAGGGATCTGTAACTTACATCTTGAGAGATGATGTGAATAATATTTGAGATCTGGAAAACTCTTCTCTAGTGTCTTTCCCATGTGACCTGAATGCAGCGTCAGTGTTACAGCGTGTGACTCCTGAGAACAAACTGAATGTGTGTGATATTAAATATATTTAAATCTGTCTTTACTGATGCTGTTTGAAGCTGCCGAAGGCTCAGTGAGGTGTCTCTTTATCTTCCTGTTAACAGAAATGTGGAAAAAGATGGAGATAAAGTACTTTCATCTGAGTTCCTAGATTCTGAGTACCAGTGGTTTAAAATGACTTATTGAGACTATTTTAATGATAAATGAAGGAGTTGAAAGTTGCATCAAGTAAGTTTATACATCTGAACAAATGTCACAACATGGACTTTAATCAGCCGAAGTGAGTGGACTGGTCTACGAACTGTTTGCTGTTAACCAAAGTTAACACGTGCACTGATATGTCCAACAGAGATGCCAGGAAAATGAAATAAGGAGGCCTGGTAATAGAGAGATCCTGAAACTCATTCTCCGGTTGATGTGAACCTCTACCCGATGCACAGGCGTCATTATTTGTAACCACTAACCATGAGCACCATTTAAAAATGAACATCAGATTTGATTGGAATATAATAAAAAAAAACTACAGGCTGTGCTTGACCATTAAAGCAGCTTCTTTTGTGTAGGAGTATAATGAAGAGAGACAGGATAAAGTTTGTTACACAAACTGGATAAAGCCATAAAGTTCTTAAAATACCTCTAGCACAGAGAAAGCAACACAAAAGTAAAATCGAGACAGTTTGGAAGGTTATTACAACATTTCCAGCCAACAAGAGCTGCAGATCAGCTGGCGAGACTAACATCTGTTTCACCTGAGCATCCTGAGGAATGTGATTTTAACGAGCTTTATTACCTAGCTTTATCAGCTGTTTTGCTTGTTTTGGAGAGGAGGAGACCGACTCTGTGTAAAAACTTCCTGACTGATGAAAACTTAAAACAACAACTCAGGACCCAGTATTTATCTTAATTCCATCAGCTGTTCACTGTAAAAACACACTGCAGCACACTGGCTGCTATTTCCAAGCTATCCATTTAATGCTGACTTTTTAACTCAGGACATCAGCGAGACTTGTGTGGCTATCTGACTGTTGATTGTGATTTATTGGTTTGCAAACAACGGTGGAAATGAGAGGAGCAGTAGCAGAAAAACACTCAACATTCTCCAGTCAAAGCCAGTAGCCTCTACTTGCCTATTCTGAATTTCACTGCAAAGCAAGCCCCACCCTCCCCAAAGAACGGGTACTTTTGGAAAGTACTACACCCCGAGCAGGGACTTTTTGGGGGGTAAAATAAACATACATTTAGACCCAGGTCCCTGCGTGAAAATGCAGTCAATTCCTCCAAAGATTCCTAGTTCCAGGTTGTAGTTTTTTGTTGGTCGAAACGCAGCTATTGATTTTTTTTTTACAAGAGACTCACTCAGTGGACAGTGATGTGAAGTTTTGGAAAGCACTATGGAGTGATCGATGTTATTTCTGTGATGCCTCTCAACAATCAGCAGGTGTCGCCATTCTTCTTAACAAGTTTAAAGGAGACATTGTTAAATCTCCGATCTCAGATGAGGGTAGAAGAATCATCTTGGTTTTAGACATCTCCTTCTTTATAATTTGCAATTTTATAGTTACAACAATACATCTCAAGCAAAAATGACATTTATACAACTTTGTATGAAACCGGAAGCCCTTAAAAACAAATATAAGGAAGCACACTTGATCATTGGATGATCTTGTAGATAGAGTAGCCTACCTGTAAGATCAGTCCCACATTCAAGATTCAAAAATACTGCATTTATCTGTGAACAACTGTCATTCATAGATGTTTGGTGATTTTTGAAAAATGAGAGTATTTCATAAAATACTCAGGTCAGTGATTATGATAGATTTGAGTCTGTTAAAGAATTCACACTGACTATTTCTGGACATTGAAATGTGAAAGACCTATTACAAATCTAAATCTTTGAGGCTGTTTGCTCAATAAAGAAGGAGAAATCTCCAGGCAATGATGGGCTTTGATTTGAATTTTATTTACATTTTTGGGACATTATTGAAAGTCCTTTTATTTGAATTATTCAAAGAATGCACTATCAAAAAGGAAATGTCCTCAAGAATGGAGCAAGCCTTCATGTACTGATGGAAAACTGGAGACCTGTTACGCCCTTGAACATTGATTACAAAATTTGTCCTTAATTTTTGGAAAGCGGTTGAAAAATGGGCTTCATAGCATCATAAATGAAACACAAACAGGTTTTATGTCTAACTAAGCTATAATATAAGACTTGTTGTACACTTGCTGGAATATTCTGATAACATCAATCCCAACACACTGATATTATATATTGATTGTCAGTCCACATTTTTGGACCAATATTTTATCTTTAATGTTTTATAAAAATATCAACAGTTGTGTTATATTTTACCCAAATACCAGAAAAAAGACTTCCTGTACTGAGATCAGTTCACCAGGGCTTTCTGATTTCCCCTTTTTTGTTCCTGCTGGTGGTTCAATTACTTTTATTACATATTCAACATAATCCAATTACTAATGGTACGTCCATTTTTGGTAAGGACGTTGAGTTGACACAGTTTGCTGATGATACAGCTCTTTATCTAAGGGACAAATATCAGGTTGAATATATTGTGTCCCTAATTGACCAATTTTCATCGGCTTCCGGTTTAATACTTAACAAATCTAAATGTGAAATTAGAAGTTTGTATCAGACTGAGGGAAAAAAATTATATATCTGTTAAGAAAACTGTAAAATATGTAGGTATTCATATCTGCAAAGGACTGCTACTATAATCATCAATAGCTTAACTTCTATCCTAAATTAAATTAACTGAAATATCAAAATGTAAAAATATTGACACTTTAGCCCCAATTTGGACATTTTCACTTAGGGGTGTCCTCACTTTTGTCTCCAACGATTTAGACATTAATGGCTGAGGGGACAGAAAATTTACACTGTTATACAAGCTGTACACTCACTACTTGACATTGTAGCAAAGTTTCATTTCTTCAGTGTTGTCACATGAAAAAATATAATCAAATATTTACTAAAATGTGAGAAGTGTTATCATTTTTGTGAGATTCTCTATCCCTACAGTTTTTTTAATTGGATCAGGTCAGTTTTTCTGTCCAACACCTGACCGAGAAACCTTCTCTTGTTCCATCTGTCTGCATCTACTGAAGGATCCGGTGACTATTCCCTGTGGACACAGCTACTGCATTTCTTTCATTACAGCTGTGTCTCCTTCTGGTAACAATAACAGAAGCCATCTCTCCGCAACGGTTTGCACCTTCCATTCAAGCGTATTAAATCCAGAGGCTGTTGCACTCACATGAAATTGTGTTTAGGCTTGGTAGATCACATTGCGTGTAGTAAATAAATGTATTTGCATGTTACGCCCCAAATTGCATATTCATTAAGGCAAAAGTACTAAATGAACAACAGGTGCTATCTTGCGCTTTTGAAAGACGTCACTCTGCGTGCAACGTGTGCAAACTTTGCACACGTTGCACGCAGAGTGACGTCACGCAAACCTTTAGTAAATCAGGCCCTAGGTCATTCCAGCCAAGCAATCTACCCAACATAACATGAAACTAAAAATTGACCCTTCAACCATCACTCCAACCAACTGGTTATCTCTCGCCTCAACTGTTGCAGTGACTGCCTCATAGGTCTTCCAGCTTGTGCGGTGAAACCCCTACAAATGTTTCAAAACGCAGCAAAAGGATCATATCCCTCCTTGTGACCTCCGCTGTCTCCCCGTGGCCTCCAGAATCAAATTCATGTCACTGATGCTGCATACAGGGTGACTACTGAGTCTGCACCCATCTATCTGAACTCTATAATACAAGCCTACGTTCCTTCTCGGCCACTACGCTCCTCCAACAAACCTCCAATAAACACTTTTATTTTATAACCTAATCCCTAACCCCTAACATGCACTTCCTTTGCTCTTCTTCTTCTACCCTCTTACAATTCTCTTGTATTTGTCCCACTTTTTTTGTTAACTCTTACTTCCTCCCCTACGTATTTACCCCACTGATGCCATACATGCTGTGAGCTCTTACTAGTTTTTAGTGCTGCTCTTACTAGTATGTATTGTCAGTTGTAGATGTCGTGCTGTATTGGTGCTTTGTTGATGCTTGTATGTTGTTCCTCAAATGTAAGTCGCTTTGGATAAAAGCATCTGCCAAATGAGTAAATGTAAATACATTGGTTGAATTGGATCAGGTCAGTTTTTGTTTGTGTTGAACAGAATATGGACATCATGCTAATCCTGTCCTGGGCTCATCAAATCGCGGTTTTGTTGTTGGTCTACACAAAACTAGATCTTCTTTGTCTTTAATCCAATAAAGCACTTAGCATCCTGATGGCCATCCTCAGGTCACCAGCAATAGCCCAGCTATTTGTATGGATACGCCTTCACACCTTTAGAGACCAGACCAAGTTGCCCCAGTCAGTACCCCTCCTCCATGCATTTACACGGTGTATTCATCTCCAACCACTGTGACAACAACCTGAATTGTTTGTGCGAGATTGCAGATACTGGCAGAATATAGAGACTATGAGGGAGCTGAGCACAAAACTCTCCAACGGCAGATACAATCAAAACAAAGTGGCATCATGTCAAGTCTTTCATTTCTCCATTCAAAGCTTCCTAGTTCAGTCTACAATAAGTTATAAAGGGAGGGGGCTTCAGCCTAGAGAGAGCAATACATTCATGTCCTGTGAGATTCAGAGATGAACAAGTAACTTAGAACTTACAATAATATAGTTTCATTATATTTTATTACATTATTGGAGTTCCATCATCTTTACAGCAGTGATTAATGGATCTGTCTTTCATGTATTAATGGCTAATA